TAGGGGACAACCTTCTCAGCTTGAGATGAACACCAGGTCTGACTCTTTAAAAGAGCTGCAAATGCAGAGATTTTTCTGGATTTTTTCCCCAATTTTTAAACATCTTTATGTAGTCCAAAGTATAACATATCTGTATGCTTAAAACCCTCCTTAGCCACCAGTTTACAACCTTTGCCCTATAACTGACCCCAGCCCACTTTAACAACTTGATTTCTCTCTAATCTCTAACAAGAACCCTCTGTTCTTCTCTCTGACACAATCATCGACTTTACACATTCCTAACTCCAAGGCGTTGCCCACTTTATACCTCCCCATCTCTGCGGCACCCTGAAACACCAAAAACAGTTCATCCCAGACTTCCTTCCTCGTCCCCAAACCCTCTTCCAGGCCACACCAGCACAGATCACTCCCGGCTCCTCTGAACCCCACAGGAAGTGATTTTTCATGTTGGCATTTAATCACCTTGGCTTGCTCCTTAATCAAGGTCTCTCTCCTCTTTCCGAAGAGTCTGTAAATCTACCCTTCCTCATGCCTTCTTCCACCTTCAGCACTAGTTAATGGTAGCTCTTCACTTAAACAGCTTAATAAATACTCACTGAATGTGAAAACTCTGTTTTTTTTCAAACTGGGGGTTATGATCCGTTAGAAGATGATTAGATCAACTTAGTGGGAGACACCATCTTTTTAAATGAACAATAATAAACTAGAAAATAGAAACGTCGGAGATGACACCGAGCAAAGGGAGGTAGTAGTTTATGAACTTAGATTCGATTTCTTTACATATGATTGTAGGTACTAGGTCACGATGTAAATTTCATTTCTTAATGTAAGTCACAGTCAAAACAGTACAGACACTGCTTTCCAGTGAGTAAATGAGCTTGACCACTTCTCCATTGCAATTAGTCTCTGGACAGTCAGATACACCCAATAAAGAAAATTATCTGATTCCCAAGTCCTCTTCCCTTACTAGTTCACTCACTGATCCTTCATCTCAGAGAAACAAGGAAGCTAAGTAACAGTAAGTACGTTCTCAGCTCAATCCACAACTTTTTGCAATCATCACTCAAATTCAGATTTTGCAAGTTGAGGCCTGGGGAATTTGTTCAGCAAATCACCCTGTGTCACCCTTGCAACATGAAATGAGCTGGCGGGGGGGGGCGGGGGGGAGAGCTCCCCTCTACCTGCAGGGTGCCAGGCTCTGGTAGGAACAGCCCTGGGAATCACAATATCCCTAGAGTTAAAATGTCCTCCCTCCCTGACTCTCTCACTCCTACCCACCCCCCAGGAAAGTTCAACAAGTTTCAAAGCCCAGCAATTTACTGTCTTTAGCAAATCTCATTCTACTTCCTTCTAACCTCCAATCCACCCTCGAGATTAGAAGAATCAACAGCCCCATCCTCCTCAGGGCCCAATTGCCCACAGTTGCTTTTCTAACTTCAGGTTCAGAACTGGGCAGTGTCCTGTGAATGGCAGTGCAGGAGAAAGAAACAGAAGCCCCTCGGTTCAGACAAGTGCCACTCAGGGACATCCTTTGCTGCCCCCCTCTTACCAGCAGCCTCCCCACTACTCCTCGGAGCCCCTTCCCTCTCCCGGCTTCTGCAGCCTCTGCAACACTGTCCCCCCTGGGCTCTCCCCTCCTCCACTCCCCCCTCCTCATCTCAGAGCATAGCTGCTTGCAGGACACCCACATCTGGATATCTTAGCAGCCCCAAGAAACTTCTCTACAGCCTGAGTAGTCAATTCCTTCTCTCCAAAATACACATTTCCGATTTCTCAAGTTACCAACTACAGCAGCTCCAAGGCCCGGGCATAGAATCAATTTCCACCAAGAATTAATTTCCATTCATCTCATCCCTTCGCCCTGCCCTGTAAACAGATTATTTCAACAGTCATGTTTCTCAAACCCACCTTTTCCACTTCCACCAATCCCAGTGCAAACTCTGGGCACCCCACAACTGCAACCACCTGCTCCCTGATGTGTCCATTACACAGTTGTTCATTACACCATTCCCTCACTCGGAAATCTTGACTGTCTCCTTAGGACACACAGGGTAGTATGCAATTACCTACAGGGCTTTCTAGGACTTTCACAATCTCAACCATTGTTCCTCTCCATCTAAGTCTCCTACTGCTCGGGATACGTTCCCTGGTCTGGCCAAGGGCATCTCCTTGCCTCTCTGTAAAGCCATGTTCATTCCCACCTCGGCCTATCTCAAGAGCGTCAGCCTCCAGGAATAAAGACAGTCCGTGTGACTGAGCCCTACCCACAGCTCCCTTCTCTGACTCCAACAGAACTATTTCTGCACGTCGCACTTTGACAGTTACCATTATATTTCTTGGTGTCTGATTTCACAGGCTCACATCCTTCATGAGAGCAGACGCCCTGGAGGGAGGGGATCATCTCTTGTATCTCTATCTCCTCCCGCCCCGAGTTGGGTATGAGCCTGTGCTCCTCTGCCCCGCTTTGCAAACTATCCCACCTGTTACTTGCTTCTCCTCCTGTCTTTGGGCCCTAGGGATGAGTTACTCTCCACCTCTCCACAGGCATAACTTATCTCAAAACGTAGTACTCCACGTCCCTTCCCCAGTGTCCTCCTTCCTTCATCTGATATGCTCCCACCCCAGCATCTCCACTCACTCAGGCAGCCACCGCACATTCACTTGAACGTCAACTCCTAAATCACTTCCACCTAGTCAGTACTAGTCTTCCTGCAGCCTGGGGTCTCCTCTGGGCCTCCGCCACCTCCCAGAGAGTCTGGCACCGTGCTGGAAGCACAGCAGCTCCCCAAAAGTACCTGTAGAGTTGAACTTAATGGCCACGTTCCCTTGTGTTTCAAGGTATTTGCGACCAGGAGCTTCCGTTTACACAACACCTGGGGAGGGTGTGAAGAAGGCCTTAGGAACCTGTGGCTCCCTCACTTTGAAGCAAACCACCCAGGTGCACCTTTCCAGAAAGGGGGTTCTAAAGAAAGCGGCGCCGGCCTGCAGGGATCCCCCGCGCCCGGCAGCCTGGCATCATGGGAACGCCTGCCGGGTGGAAGTCCTACAAGGCCACCAGGAACTAGCCAGGGCTGCCCAAAACCGGGAGGCGGAGGACCCCTCCCCACCGGCCAGGTGGGCTTCGTCAGGTCTCTGAGTCAGTTCCAAAGTGAAGGCGTTGACCCCTGCACTCCCCGGCAGGGAAGAAAACGCTGCCTCGGAAACTGTTTGCACAGGACAAATTCCCTGTGCAGGCCCCCATTCGAGCACCCAGCAAACCCACGGTGCCACCGCCGGGGAGGGCCAAGGGCGCGGGGGCGAGAGCGCTCAGGCAGAGGGGGCGGCGGCCAGGGCGGGAGGGGCGTGGGCCGCCCGCGGGCGGAGGATGTGTCCCCCAGTCTCCCAGTCCCTCTGTCCCGCCCGTCCCGCAGCCCGGCCTCGCGCGCTGGACGGAGTGGGCAGGAACCCGCAGAAACGCGCGGGGCGCGGGAGGGCCAGGCGGGCGGCCCCGCCGGAAAGGGCCGGGGAGGAGCAGGAGGGCCGGTCCACGTCCCTCCGAGTGTCGACTCCCGGTCGCCCGAAGTCAGGGAGGGGGCTCCGAGGAGGGGGCGCCGGTGGCGCGCGAGGTAAACAAGGCGACGCGCGGGAGCGGCAGCCACCCCCGCCCGCCACCCCGGCCCTGCCGCAGCGCCCCGCGCCCCGCCCGCCGCGGCCCCGGCCTGCCAGACCCCCCGAGCCCCCTAGGCCGCCGGCCCGGCCCATCGGCGGGCGCGCGGGGCGTGGGAAGTTCGCGGCCGCCCCTGCCCCCGGCTGCCGTGCCGAGAAGTCCCCGCGCAGCTCACCTCGGCCCGCCACGACCGGCAGCGGCACGCCCGGCTTCCCCGGCTCGGACGGCTCGGCTCGGACGGCTCGCTTGGCTCCGGGCTGCAGCGGCCGCGGCCCTGCACGCCCTCCCGGCGCGGCCCACGGCCCGGCTCCTCTCCGGCCACCCGCCGAGGCTGGGTTGGCGCCCACCTGGCCGGCCTGCCCCTTCCCCGGGACACTGCGCTCACGTACGCGGCCGCGGCCACAACCCGGCCCGGATTCCCGCCCGGGAAGGGAGCGGAGCAGCGCGCCCGCCGGCGCCCAGCGGAGACGCTCGGGACACACCCCCGCCCGCCCAACCCCCGCGCCCCCGCGCCACCCCTCGGCCCCGCACCCGCCCCGTGCGCCCGGGCTACACACACCCGGCCGCCCGTAGACAGTCGGCGCTCAATAAGTGCCCGAGCGACTCCTCGCGCACATGCGCACTTGAACCTGACCGAGTGGTGACCCCCCACACACACACACCCCGCCCCACCCCCCGATCGGAACCGGCAGCTGCAGCCCCGAGCCAAACTTGAGGCTTGGCTTTTCGCACCGAGCCAAAGTTTCTCTCGCTGTTGTTTTTCCAGGCCTGGCTCTGGGACGGGCTTCTCTGAGAGGGGCCGGGCTCGCCCCGGGGCGGGAAGGGAGCCAGAGAGCTGGGGCGCCGCGCTCGGGAGCTCGGTGAGGACCTTGGGGACCCAGGCGGTGCAGCCCCGGCCGACCCAAGGGCCCGCGCCCGCGCCAGGGGAAGGAAGCTGGAAAGCACCTTCCCATTTTCCTTTGCACTCAGTGTTTTCTTCCCCATTTCATGACATCTCCTTCCTCTGGCGGTGTAAAGTGAGGCGTTATTTACTGTTGCTGGAATTAAATGGGAAAAAGTTAACTATTAGCCTTCAAGCCGTATGTAAACAGGACCGGTTGCTTTTGGCACCGTTAGGCTCTGGCTTTTGGATAATTTGTAACAAGGAGAATTGAAGTTGTTCCATTGTGGTGTTCTATGTTTTTCAGAGATAAGACCAGAGCCACAACGGTAGTGAGGGGCCCCCATGTCTATATATGGGTTGGCATGTATATTTATATTCAAGCAAATGTAAGAACTCTGAAGGTAGTCATTCCTCTCCCCTAAAAAAGTTTTTAAATATGTTTTGACTATAATTTTTGAGTTTGCAGTTCACCTTGGGTTTGAGGTGTGCTGTTTTTCTGGCAAAGAAGTAGTGGGAGTGTCCTGGAAAAGGGCTAAAGTCTTTGTAGTCAGACGAACCGGCTTGCAGTCCTGATTGAACTAAATTCGCTTTTATGATCTCCAGCAGGTTCTTCCACTCTCGGTACTCCAGCTTCTTCATCTGCAAGACTGAATAACACAGATAAGAGTGTCCAGCTCTCATAGCAAATAAGTAATAAGTATTTCCCTTCCCCCATTTCCCACCATTTGTGAAATAAGAAAATTATCTAACTAGAACCAAAATTCCTATAGGACACTGGTTATGGGCTGTGAGTGACGAGACACCAATGTCGGGAGGCGTTTTGGATCGTCACAATTGGGAGAGGGGAACTACTGTCATTCGGTGGATAAAGGCCAAGGACAGGACAGCCCCCCACAACAAAGAATTGTACGGTCCAAAAAAATGCTGGCATTGCCATGGAGAAGTCCCACTATAGGACAATCGGGCTACCCAGAAATTCAGCAATGGTGGGTTCTACCCTTTACCTCTCATGCTCTAGGAAACATTTCTGGTTTGCACTAAGAGGAACAAAACGTTGCGGGGATCACCACAATTACGTTAATATGAAAATGCAGATTGATTTGATTTTGTTTATTTATTTATTTTTGAGACAGAGGCTCTCTCATGTCACCCAGGCTGGAGTTCAATGGCGCAATCTTGGCTCATTGCAATCTCCGCCTTTCGGGTTCAGGCAATTCTCCTGCCTCAGCTTCCCAAGTAGCTGGGATTACAGGCTCCTGCCACCACACCTGGCTAACTTTTGTATTTTTAGTACAGATGGGGTTTCACCATGCTGGCCAGGTTGGTCTAGAACTCCCAACCTCAGATGATCCATCTGCCTCAGTCTCCCAAAGTGTTGGGATTACAGGCATAAGCCACTGCTCCCAGCCCAGATTGAAATTTTATATTTAATTTTTCAAGGAATATTTAGGCTATGCAAGGTGGCTCATGCCTGTAATCCTATCATTTTGGGAGGCCGATGTGGGAGGTTCACTGGAGGCCAGGAGTTTGAAACCAGCCTGGGCAACAGCAAGATCTCTTCTCTCCAAAAAGCAATGGGGTGGAGAGAGAATAGTTTAGTTAGTTAACAATTTAACAATATAGTAACAATGTATCCTCTTATTTTTAAGATAATTTTGTGTGTTACATGTTACTACAGTTCATGAATAGTTTTATGTTCTTGTTTCCATTTTTCTTCAAACAGTGGGTGTTTACTTACATCTATATATTTACCTCTGCTAAATTTCTCACCTATCCTGAAGTTTATAACACAGTCCCTGCCCCCAAGGACTATCCAGCCTTCATGGAAGTAGATTAATGCACATGCAACAATTAAGGAACAATACAAGATAACATATAATTAAGCTCTAATTGCAACACCCAGAGTAAAGTGGCTCAGAGGAAAGGGAAATGAGTTGGGCAGCAACAGCCCAGGGCTTGCCTTTGGGACTAAGGTGTTCAGGAAATGTTTATTGAGTGAAATGAAACAGTGAAAGTTTCTTACATGAGTTAGGACTAGCATATAAACTCCATACCAGGATTTAAAGTGCTAGGATTCATCAATGGATGTCGGTGCCTGGTTGTGAATTTATTCTTCGGTTTTTGTTTGTTTTTGAGACAGGGCCTCACTCTATCACTGAGGCTGGAGCACAGTGGGGAATTACAGCTCACTACAGCCTCAATGCCCTGGGCTTAAACAATCCTCCTACCTCAGCCTCCTAAGTAGGTGGGACTATATTTGCTCCACCATGCCCAGCTAACTTCTTTATTTTTTGAGAGACAGGGTCTCACTATGTTGTCCAGGCTGGTTTCTAACTCCTGGGCTCAGCCTCCCAAAGTGCTGGGACCACAGACATGAGCCACTGTACCCAGCCAATTTATTCTTCCTAAAACATCTAGTTTAAGCTTTTAACCAAACCTGTATATTTATTTAAATGATTGCACTTTAATAAAACCAAAACGCTCATTCGTTTGACAAATACTTGGTGCCTGCTGTGTGCAGAGTGAGCCAGAATAGTCTCTGCATTTCCATAGAATTGTTCTGTTTGCGAACTTGTGATTGATACCACAGGCCTTCCAAGGACGTATGCTTTCTTCTGCATAAGTTGGACGCATATCTCTTTACTGCTGGTAGGCACATGCACAGTGTACATTCCAGAGTTTTGCACATTAACACAGATGCAAAGAAGTCATCCCAATACTAACAACCATTGCCAACACACACACACCCCCAGCACTCAGCACCTTCGAGCAGAATCCAGGCCCCGGCCTGAATGCACACTGCACAACCCGCACAGTACACAAAGCAAGACGTACCTACAAAGACAATCACTTTTTGCTTTTTTGTTTTTGAGACAGAGTCTTGCTCTGTTGCCAGGCACCAGGCTGGAGTGCAGTGGTGCGATCTCGGCTCACTGCAACCACTGCCTCCCGGTTTCAAGCAATTCTCCTGCCTCAGCCTCCCGAGTAGCTGGGACCACAGGTGCGCGCCACCACACTCAGCTAATTTTTGTATTTTTTAGTAGAGATGGGGCTTCACCATGGTCTCAATCTCTTGACCTTGTGATCTGCCCGCCTCAGCCTCTCAAAGTGCTGGGATTACAGGTGTGAGCCACTGTGCCCAGCCCACTTTTTGCTTTCTAGTCTCGTTCCTGCTTCTTTCCCCCTCCCCTGTAAGTGACTAAGGCTTGCCCTTCCTGGGGGGCTGTCCCCTCTTAGAACTGCCCTTCACCCTACTTTCTCCCACACTCTGGCCCCCTACTAAAATGTAGGCAGGCCGGATGTATGGCTCACGCCCATAATCCCAGCACTGTGGGAGGTTGAGGCAGTAGGATCACTTGAGGCCAGGAGTTCAATTCCAGCCTGGGAAACATAGGGAGACCCTGTCTCTACAAAAAATTTAAAAATTAGCTATGCTTGGTGGTGCATGCCTCTACTCCCAGCTACTCTGGAGGCTGAGGTGAAAGGGTCACCTGAGCCCAGGAGTTGGAGGCTGCCACGGGCTACGACTGAAACCACTGCACTCTAGCCTGGGTGATAGAATGAGTCTCTCTCTCTCTCTCTCTCTCTCTCTCTCTATATATATATATATATATATATATATATATATATGTATGTATGTATCTCCCTCTCGATGGAGTCTCATTCTTATCACCCAATCTGGAGTGCAGTAACACAATCTCAGCTCACTGCAACCTCCACCTCCAGTTTCAGGCCATTCTCCTGCCTCAGACTCCTGAGTAGCTGGGATTACAACCACATGCCACCACGCCCGGCTAATTTTTGTATTTTTAGTAGAGATGGGTTTTCACCATATTGGCCAGGCTGGTCTCGAACTCTTGACTTCAGGTGATCCACCCACCTCCCAAAGTGCTGGGATTACAGGCATGAGCCACCGCATCCAGCTGACCTTGTCCCCAAAAAAAGAAAGAAAGAAAGAAAAAGAAAAGAAAAATGTAGCTATCTTCTACCTCATTTCCATTAAGTAATTAGCTCTTCAGATAGTGTCTCCCAATAGCTGAGATTAAGCACAGCAGACCCAGGCCAGACCTCCCTTCCCTGCGTCATATGCTATGGACTCATAGGTGCTATGTGAGAGCAGTGGCAGTCTGAGATGGCCACCCTCCCAACCCCCGTGCAACACTCCCGGGCATGCCTCCCTCCAACCCACCCTATTACCCCAACCTCTTGCCTCTGCTTAAAACTCCTCGAAAGCTCCCAATGGCTTTGATAATAAAGTCCCAACATTGCACATTAAGGTCCTTCACGGTGTACCTTCCAGTGACACGTCCAGACTCTCCCTGCCCCCTCCCTCTACCCCTCATGTGGCACTTCAGACACCCAACTGATCTGTTCTTTGCCTGAACATAGTTTCTCTGCCTGTTACACGCTGTTTCCTCTGCCCAGAACACTCTACCCTACCCTCTCACCTCTTTACTTGGTGAGCTCTGCTCATCCTTCAGGGGTCAACCTAGATAGCATTTTCTCTGAATTGCTTTCACAGGCCTCCAAGTCTGGAACTAGGCACCCCTCCCATGTGTCCAAAGCACCATGACTCATTGCACTGAAATCTCCATTTCCTTGTCCTAATGCCCCAGAAGACTAAATATTTTGTGAGTACAGGGAGTATGTCTTGTTTTCCATTGTATACCCAACAGCTAGTACAGTGGCTGGCATGTCGTGGGCACTTTTCTTTGAGTGTAAAACAGGGTTTCACTCTGTCACCATGCCTGGAGTGCAGTGGGCACCATCATGGCTCACTGCAGCCTCTAAATCCTGGGCTCAAGCGATCCTCCTGCCTCAGCCTCTGGGGAGCTGGGACTACAGGCACATGCCAGCACACCCAGCTAAGTTTTTAGACAAAATTTTATAGAGATACTATCACTATGCTGCCCAGGCTAGTCTTGAACTCTTGGGCTCAACTGATCCTCCCACCTCGGCCTCCCAGTGTTGGGGTTACAGTTATGAGCCACCACACCTGGCCTGTAGTGGGTACCTAATAAGCACTTGTTAATAAATGAATAGCCAGTTGCATTTGAGGACAGATTAGAGTTATTCCATGGTGCAGGCAATCCCTGGTTCAAAGCATGCCTCAGATGCTCAGCAGATTCCTGGGATACTGAAGACCTGTTAGCCATATATTTAGAGCAGATGAGGCGAACAGAAGAAATTGAGGCTTCTCCACCAGAGGCTTGATTTATACCTAACTTGGTTTCCTGAGTTCCAGACTGTCAACACCAGTTACCTAGTTGGCATCTCCACGCAGATGTCTAATCAGTTCTCAAATATACCGTGTCCAAAACCAGACTTCTGATTTCCCTTTAAAATCTGCTCCTTCTCATTTCAGTAAACTGCAGTTCCCTTCTTCTAGTTGCTCAGGAAACAAACAAAAACTTGGAATCATCCTTAACTCTTTTTTTTTTTTTAACTCATACTCCACATCCAATCCATCAGAAAATCCTATTGGTTCTAGTGAAATTCAGCCAGAATTAATTAATGTTACAGCATTTCCAGCACAACTTCCCTAGGCCAGCCACCATCTCTCTAGCCTGGCCTTCCACAGTGGCTCCCCCGGTCTCCCTGCTTTCTCTACCGCTTTTCTACAGTCTATTCAGCATTGCAGCAGCCACATTCTTTTGAAACCTAAGTCAGGCCGGGTGTAGTGGCTCAAACCTGTAATCCCAGCATTTGGGAGGCTGAGGCGGGCCGATCGAGACCAGCCTGGCCAACAAGGTGAAACCCCGTCTCTACTAAAAATACAAAAATTAGGCGGGTGTGGTGGCTGATGCCTGTAATCTTAGCACTTTGGGAGGCCAAGGCTGGCGGATCATGAGATCAGGAGATCAAGACCATCCTAACTAACATGGTGAAACCCCATCTCTACAAAAAATACCAAAAAAAATTAGCTAGGCGTGGTGGCACGCGCCTGTAGTCCCAGCTACTCAGGAGGCTGAGGCAGGAGAATTGCTTAAACTCGGGAGGCGGAGGTTGCAGTAAGCTGAGATCTTGCCATAGCACTAAAGTCTGGGTGACAGAGCAAGGCTCCATCTCAAATTAAATAAATAAATAGCTGGGCGTGGTGGCACTTGCCTATAATCCCAACTACTCTGAGGCTGAAGTAGGAGAATTGCTTGAAACCGGGAGGCAGAAGTTGCAGCGAGCCGAAATCATCTACTGCACTCCAGCCTGGGCAACAGAGTGTCTCAAAAAATGTCTCAAAAAATTAAAACAAACAAAACCTAAGTCAAATCATATCACTCTTCTGCTCAAAACCCCAGCAGCTTACCAGCTCTCTCACTACAAGACCCTACACTATCTGTCTCCCCAGTCCCATCATGTGATCAGCTCTCCAGTCCCCACACCCAGCACTCTTCCCTGGCTCCTGAGGCTCCTGCCACAGTGGCCCCCTTGCTGTTTTTCAGCCCGACTCCTAACCGCCTTTCCAAGGTGGTTCCTTGGGCTGGGATGCTCCTCCTCCAGATACCCATTGGACTTCTCCCATCATTTGATCAGGTCCCGGCTCCGATGCACTCGTCGTGAGATACATAACTACAATACCGCCACTGAACGGCCCCTTTGCCCAGCTTATTTCTCTTCTCCTTGCAGTCATCACTGCTTGATAGTCTGTCTCCATGCACTCAAGTACAAATTCAGTGAGAGTAGAGACTTTGCTTTTACTTACTGCTATATCCACCACTTCTAGAATAGTGTCGGGCACATACTACACACTCAATGAATAATTATGATCAAGGGTCTGGTTAGACTTCCAAAAAGTTAATCATCAGGATGCCAGCTACTCAGTTCTTCACCACTGTCTTATTCACTTAGACATGGAACCACATTACCTCTGTGATCCACAGTTCTTTTTTGAGACAGTCTCGCTCTGTCTCGACTGCAGAGTCTCACTGCAGGTGAGTGCAGTGACATGATCTCAGCTCACTGCAACCTCTACCTCCTGGGTTCAAGTGATTCTCCTGCCTCAGTCTCCCAAGTAGCTGGGATTATAGGCAGAGACCCTAATTGCCTGGCTAATTTTTACATTTTTAGTACAGACAGGGTTTTGCCATGTTGGCCAGGCTCGTCTCAAACTCCTGGCCTCAAGTGCTCCACCTGCCTTGGCTTCCCAAAGTGTTGGGATTATAGGCATGAGCCACCATACCTAGCTTGTGATCACAGTTTTAAACACAACTTTCATACCACAATCTCAAGCCAGGCTGTGAGTTTCAAGCAAAAAGAATACTACTAAGAATACTGCTAATGTTGCACGTGTGGTGTACTTCGTGCTTTGCTTTTGATTGAGGAAATTACAATGTATCTTAGTGAAACAGGTCCAGCACCCACTGAAAGTATTTTCACTCCAAGAAGCACTAGAGTCAGGAATTTTAAGAGAAAGTGGTGGGGCCAGTGTGCCCTGGAGCCAATGGCATCTTCTCTCTGATCTACTCAATCTGCAAGGCTTTCCCGGAAGAGGTGGGCTTTTCATGCCATGGAAGAGAAAGGATAACAGGTTGTAAATAGGTGTTCAAAGGTTAAGGGTGTCTCTGAAGTTTCTCGCTTAGATCTGCACAGTGACACTTTCACACCAAGCCCCCATATGTGTAAAGATGGCCACGGGTACACCCCAACACATAAACACCCAGATCTGTGTCTCCTTCCTCCTAGCTCTGAAACTCTGTGAATTTGAGCAAACGTCCATATTCAAAAAGGGGGAAAATGAGCTGGCTTTGAGAACAGGGAGCATGAGGCCCTATGACTCTCGGTATGAAGGAATGTGTAAGCCTGGGCAGGCTCAGTGTACACATCTGGCTTTTCCCTTTTATGCTTCTGTGATTTCTATGACACAGGAAATCCATTCTGGAACAGCCCTGTCTGCTTTCTAGTGAGTGCATTAAAATGGGGATTAAAATTATGTTTATCTCACTGCTCAGGCCAGGATGATAAAATCCAGAACTGAGGGTGGATCAGCTGAGGCTTCATACTACCTTGTACCCCCAGGGAGGAGCTCGTAACTAAAACTGGAGGAGTGGGAGGCCAAGGAAAAGATTTCTGCACAGCCAAAAGAATATCTAGACATGGCTGGGCGCGGTGGTTCATGCCCGCAATCGTAGCACTTTGGGAGGCCAAGGCGGGCAGACCACTTGAGGTCAGGAGTTTGAGACCATCCTGGCCAACATGGCAAAACCCCATCTCTACTGAAAATATAAAAATTAGCCGAGCATGATGGTGCCTGCCTGTAGCCCCAGCTACTCAGGAGGCTGAGTCATGAGAATCGCTAGAACCCAGAAGGCAGAGAGGCTGCAGTGAGTCGAGATTGTGCCACTGCACTCTAGCCTAGGCGATAGAGCGAGACTCCATCTTAAAAAAAAAGGAAGAAAGAAAAGAAAGAGGAAAAACAGAAAAAAAAAAAATCTAGACATGGCTTTTCCTCTGAAGCAGACCAGGTCCAGGAACATACCATGTGGTAAAAATGCCAATTCAGCTGAACCCAACAGATACAATTTGAATGGTCTCCAATCTCACTGGGAAACCCTCTCCCTTACGTTGCCACACTACAAACTCTGTAGGAATACTCTTCTCGTGGAAGGTTTTTAACAGAGGCTAAATTCAGTGACCAGCTTTTTCCCACTCACAAGGGAGATAACACAGAGCTGTGAAAGAAATAAATACCATTAAATGGCCAGGCACCGTGGTTCACATCTGTAATCCCAGCACACTGGGAGGCGGAGATGGGGTGATCACCTGAGGTCAGGAGGTTGAGACCTGCCTGGCCAACATGGTGAAACCTTGTCTGTACTAAAAATACAAAAAATTAGCTGGGTGTGGTGGCAGATGCCTGTAATCCCAGCTACTGGGGAGGCTGGGGCAGGAGAATCCGGTAAGTGAAGATTGCAGTGAACCCAGAAAGTGGAGGTTGCAGTGAGCCAAGATCACACTATTGCACTGAAGCCTGAGCAACAAGAGTGAAACTCTGTCTCAAAAATAATATAATAATAATAATATCAAACAAGATGGGAGAGCACCAGGAACCTTAGACTTCCAAGAGGACCCTGAAGAGAAGCCTGAAGTTATCCGACCCCATCAATAACAAATGGTACCAGAAAAACTGATAGGGCAGTCCCAAAAGAGAAGGAGGAGAGATGGAGCACAGTAAAACAGCCAGGAAGAAGTGAAGAATTGGCCGGGTGTGGTGGCTCAAGCCTGTAATCCAGCACTTTGGGAGGCCAAGGCGGGCAGATCACAAGGTCAAGAGAGCGAGACCATCCTGGTCAACATGGTGAAACCCCGTCTCTACTAAAAATACAAAAAATTAGCTGGGCATGGTGGCGTGTGCCTGTAATCCCAGCTACTCAGGAGGCTGAGGCAGGAGAATTGCCTGAACTCAGGAGGCGGAGGTTGCAGTGAACTGAGATTGCACTATTGCACTCCAGCCTGGGTAACAAGAGCGAAACTCCGTCTCAAAATATATATAGATAGATAGATAGATAGATATTAGCTAGGCATGGTGGTGCACATCTGTAATCCGAGCTACTTGGGAGGCTGAGTCAGGAGAATCACTTGAACCCAGGAGGTGGAGGTTGCAGTGAGCCGAGTTTATGCCACTGCACTCCAGCCTGGGTGACAGTGTAAGACTCTGTCTCAAAAAAGAAAAAAAAAAAAAGAAGAAGTAAAGAACTGGCAGGAAAGAGCACATCGGGAATACTCACCCCTGACACTCCTCTTTTAGTTTCTTGGGTTCCAGTCCGCATGTAATTTTACTGGGTCGGGTGCAGTGGCTCATATCTGTAATCTCAGTACTTTGGGAGGCCAAGGTGCGAGGACCGCTTGAGCTCAGGAGTTTGGGACCAGCCTGGGTAACATAAGGGGACCCTGTCTCTACAAAATAAAAAATAAAACCTAGCCAGGTATGGAAGCACAGGCCTGTGGCCTCAGCTACTCCGAGGCTGACGTAGGAGGATTACTTGCGCCTGGGAGGTTGAGGCTGCAGTGAGATACGACTGCAGTACCACACTCCAGCCTGGGTAACGGACCAAGACCCTGTCTCACCAAAAAAAAAAAAAAAAAAAAAAATTCGCCGGGCATGGTCGTGTATGTCTGTGGTCCTAGTTACTTGGGAGGCTGAGGTGGGGGCATCACTTGAGCCCAGGAGATTGAAGCCGCAGTGAACCATGATCAGGCCAGTGTACTCCCGCCTGGGTGACGGAGTAAGACCCTGTCATACACACACACACACACAGGTTATTTTTCTTCTACAGTGTGTTTATTGTCACATGACTTTGCTCTTAAGGACCTTATTTTTACTTTCTGTCCCTTGGCAAGATCACCCCTAGCATTCCCCAGAAGGGGGCTGGTGGCCTTTTCTTTAGTGAACTTACCAGAGTTTCATGTTGGTCCAGCTGCTACACTTCATCATCTCTCAGATGTATTCCATTCTGGTCACTAGCCCCATGTGAGCACTCCAGCCTTCTTCCTGATCCTTCTGTAGCAGCAAACAGCCACCCGAGGCAGACGTGCCTGCCGCAATTCCAGCCTGCCCAGATGGTCAAGAATCACCCCAGTCTCGAGACAAAAATCATCAGAAGTGTCACAGATCTCGACAAGGCACACAGGGTGATCTTGCATACCGTGGAATGGCAAAGCCGTGGAGCACTGGGAAAAATAATAATTATTATTATTATTCTGAATATAATTATTATTATTATATAATAAATATTATTATTATTATTATTTCCACAACGCCACAACAGCAATGTGCTAATGAACTATTGCCCAGGATGTGGGGCTGATCAGCGGAACAACCTCTTGACAAGCAAAATGAAAAGATTAAAAAACAAAAGTCCGTAACCCCATCTGTCAATCGGATAAAACCCCAAAGATAAAAGCCTGTTTCTAAAAGCATTTTAAATGCTGCCAATCATTTTATGACAACTTCTGGCTCTTCAGAATTGAATAGCGGATGCTGTTTGTACCAGATATCATACTGTATTCACAGTCAGCACAGTTTCTTATATCCAGCAGAGATCAGCCTCCATCACTCCCCACTGGGATACCCAACTTCACAAGGCTGGTCCGTAAGACACTAGGAGCACAAGTAGGTTGACACACAGCATGAAATTCCCTCTTGAGCTGGACGTGGTGGTTCATGCCTGTAATCCCAACACTTTGGGAGGCCAAGGTGGGTGAATCACTTGAGTTCAGGAGTTCGAAACCAGCCTGGCCAACATGGTGAAACCCCATCTGTACCAAAAAATACAAAAATTAGCCAGGTATGGTGGCAGGCACCTGTAATCCAGCTAGTCAGGAGGCTGAGGCAGGAAAATTGCTTGAACCTGGGAGGTTGAGGTTGCAGTGGGCTGAGATCATGCCATTGCACTCCAACCTGGGCAACAGAGCGAAACTATATCTAAAAAAAAAAGAAATTCCCTCTTGAATTTCAGTATAGATAGGAAGGTCTGACACCTTGATTCTCCTTCCAATTTAATTTTTCTAAGTGCTATGTTTTGAATGTGTCCCCCAAAGTTCACTTGCTCACCAGTGCAGTGGTGTTGGGAGGTAGGGGCTAATGGAAGATGTCTGGGTCATAGGGCACTATCCTCCTAAATGGATTAATGCCCTTATTATGACAGTGGGTTCCTTATAAAAGGATGAGTTTGTCCCTCTTACTCTCTTGCCCTCTCTTTGCCCTTCTGCCATGTTGTGACATAGCAAGAAGGTCCTTGCAAGATGCCTACACCTTGGTTTTGGACTTCCCAACCTCCAAAACTGAGAGGACATAAATTTCTGTTCATTATAAATCACCCAGTCTGTGGTATGATTTACAACAACACAAAACAGACTAAGACATCAAGTTTAAATCATTTACTGGCAAAAAGTTTCTCCTCATTTCATAGGCCTGCCTAAATTCATTTAGGTGAAGAAGAGTGGGAATTTTTTTTTTTAGAGATGGAATCTTGTTTTATCTCCCAGGCAGCAATAGCGTGATCTCGGCTCACTGCAACCTCCCACCTCCCATTTCAGGTGATTCTCCTGTCTCAGCCTCCCGAGTAGCTGGGATTGTAGGCATGTGCCACCATGCCTGGCTAACTTTTCTTTGTATTTTTAGTAGAGACGAGGTTTTACCATGTTGGCCAGGCTGGTCTCAAACTACTGACCTCAAGTGATCTGCCTGCCTCAGCCTCCCAAAGTGGTGGATTACAGGAATAAACCATCACCCCCAGCCAAGAATGAGACTTAGCTTTAGGCTTTTTTTGGAGAAAATCTATACAATATTTGCCCATAAAACCCAGAGTCTTACCTTTATAAAAGATATAGTTAACTATTCTTCTAACCTGCAATTCATCTGACGTTAGGCCACATCTTGCCCTAGAAATCCTTATAATACATGGAAGCAGAAGTCTTGTAGATTATTAAAATCCTGTACAATTCCCCTTTTATATTATCCACCTGGGAGCACTCTGATTTTCCAGTGCTGTCTTAGAGATGGCCCATCTCACAATCCTCTCACTTACAAGCTGTTGATTTACAGATCCCAGCCTTCTCCCGCTTACAGTGCAATTGATTGCTTCTCAAATCACCCCTGACAAACTGTCCGTGATTCCTGATGGCATGAGAAATGACTAGCATCTAGGTGTTTTGTAATTCAGTACTCAAGGCAGGAGTGAAGATCTGTCCTATATAGAAACTAGATCTCAATCTGCTTCTTGACCATTCTAGGTTGTTGTTCCTTTGATCTTCCCCTTCTGTCTTTGTGGCTTATCTCTTGATCCAAAGCAATCACCCCAAAGAGACACTTTGAAATTCACTAGCCAAAGAGTTGCCAGCCTCCTTTGAATAATACTAACAGCCAAATGGCCAGAAAATCATTCTGAGTTTAGCATCCACCCACTCCATTCCCAATGTGCTAACCCACCACTTGATAAATGGAAGTATTCATTGTTCACTCTGACCTCCTGTATGTATTGGGGAAAGGTACAGGAGGTAAGAGGCTATAGTGCCTTTGGTTAGCTGGGAAGGTTGTAAACCACTGAGGACAGACTTCTGACGTCTGGATGAAACAGCCAGGAGAAGAAATAAATCCAATTATTAAAAAAGCCTTTAATGTATTATGATTTTGTTGAAATTCTTATAGGAGGAAGCCAAGGAGGAATTTCACTGCCCAACACACAAGAAGCTTTCGAAAATCCTCTTTCCAAGTTTCTTCCCCCAAAACCCTACTGCTCATAACTGCTGTTTCTCTCTCCTCCTCCTCCTGTCTTCTACTGAACTCGACCCTGTGCTCCTCACTTCCTAACTCCCCCTTTCCCTTCTTCCTTTCTCAAGTAGACAAATACAGCCTGCTCCTGACTTCCACCTCTCAACTCTGTCAAAGGCCTAGCAGTGACAGAGCCAGCAAAGAATCTGTCCCCTTTGTCTGTTAAGGGGAAAACATGGAAATTTCTTTTCTTTTCATGTTGACAATATCAGGCTAGTCTCAGTTTACCTGATGTTTTTCCAAGGAGTACATATAGGGCCCTATAATGTTATCCCCAGACCCTTAGAATGGCTATGACTGACGGTGGATATGACAAGACCATCCTGGCCGGGCCCGGTGGCTCACGCCTGTAATCCCAGCACTTTGGGAGGCTGAAGCAGGCGGATCATGAGATTAGGAGATCGAGACCATCTGGCTGTGGTGAAACCCGGTCTCTGCTAAAATAAAAAAACATTAGCCGGGTGTGGTGGCACATGCCTGTAGTCTCAGCTACTCGGGAGGCTGAGGCAGGAGAATCACCTGAACCAGGGAGACAGAGGTTGCAGTGAGCCGAGACTGCAATTGCGCCACTGCATTCTAGCCTGGCAACAGAGCAAGGTTCCATCTAAAAAAAAAAAAAAACAAACCATCCCTCCCCACTCTCCATGCTCCATTGACCACTGACCATCTTTTTCTTGGTGACCTACCCAGCTGTCCATCACTGGAATTGTTCGGGAGGAAGGAGATGATGTGTCAGGGACTCCTTCTCTAAGATTCTGTGATTCCAAATGCCCTTGCAATTCATATTCTATCCTCTAATTGCTTCTTTAAGACTGACCCTCTCACCTTTCCATCCTTCAGCTTTAGCCAACAGATAGAACAGTTAATTATTTTTTAATTTTCTAAGAGGGAGTCTCACTGTGTCGCTCAGGCTGGAATGCAGTGGCAAGATCTCACTTCACTGCAACCTCAGCCTCCCAGGTTCACGTAATTCTCCTGCCTCAGCCTCCCAAGTAGCTGGGATTACAGGTACCCACCACCACACTTGGCTAATTTTTGCATTTTTAGATTAGGTGGGGGTTTCACCATGTTGGCCAGGGTGGTCTCAAACCCCTGACCTCAGGTGATCTGCCTGCCTGGGCCTCCCAAAGTGTGGGAGGTGTAAGCCACCATGCCCAGCCTGAATAGTTATTATTCTAATAATCTTTCTTCCTTCCTTCCCTCCTTCTTTCTTCCTTTCTTTCTCTCTCTTTCTTTGTCTTTCCCAGTGTTGCTAAGAACTTTCCAGTAATCTCACCTCGACATCTCAGTTTTAGCCTCTGCATGATCCAGACCATCATCATATCCCAAGGTCAAGTGTTAGCTGTCTAATCTCGAACTTGGGCCTGTTGAATTGTTTTCTGTGTATAAAAGCAGTAATATTGAGGCAGAATTAGATCTTCCTGGGACTCACGCTTGCTATGACTCATTCTGGGACGTGGAACACTTAAGAAGTGATAGCTGTGGCCAGCACCCAACTTCCACTATTCTTTGAGGGATAAATAAATACCGCTGTGCCAAACTTATTAGTCAGGCCTCTTTTTGAAGACAAGTGACAGGAACTCAATTCATGCTAGCTTAAGCAAAAAAAATGAACTTGTTAGCTTCCTTAACTGGGAAACCCGGGAGGATAACTGGCCCCAGGCACAGCAGGACCCGGGGTTTAAACAAAGTTGGTAGGGTCTGTTCTCCAAATCTCTCATTTCTGTTTTGCTCCTTCATATCAGTCCCATTTTTTCCTACTTCAAAAGAGCCCCCAGCGGTCAAAAATGGGCCTCCCTCACGCACTCGGGAACATAGCTGCTGGCAGCTCCCAGCTATGACATCCTCATTTAGCAACACCAGCAGAAAACAAATTTTTCTTTCACACATTCATATATTAGTTCCAGGGAAAAACTGTAATTGAGTCTGCTCAGTGAAAATGCCCACCCTTTGGACGGCTGTTGCCAGAGAGATGGAATACTACGGTGGCCAGCCCAAATAAAACCACAAGGAATAGAGGAATGAGGTCCCACAGGAAGGGACACGGGACAGAGAAAATCACACATGTCAATTACCCGAGGGGGAATGGGGCACCTCTGAGAGTCAAAGAACGTGTGCACTTTCACTAGCTGTGCGATTTCTGACCACTTTGCTTTTCTCAGCCTCCGTTCCTCAGGTGCAAAACGGTTACTGGGTAGTTTATAGGACATTGCCAAATTACGTGTCACAGCGTCTCTCCACTCTGGATTTCTCAGATAATGGAAAACTGACTTCGTGGAGGAAGGCATTGCAACAGAGCCGCCTCTCCTCAGTGTTCATGCAGACACTCTCGCGGAGAGCTCCACGCCTTACCGAAAATTCTTGTGTCGGTTGCATATATTAGAAAATGAAGCATTCGTGGCCGGACTGCTTATAGTACGGACTCAAATCAGCTCAGTGCGTGACGAGTATCATGCAGGCACACAAACCATAAGGGGATGCTGCCACCGAGTCATTTCCTGGATTAGGAGAAGTGGCAGAGACGCCCTCAGGGGCCGCACGTGTCAGACTTCTACCTCCCAAGGCGCTGCTCAGGGCCCTGAGAGCTGCGAGCACGCAGCCTCCAGCAACCACTTACTGTGTGCGCGCGTGTGTGTGCACGCGTGTGTATGTGCGTGTATGGGCGTAGTCGGGTGTGTGCGCGTGTGTACGTGCGTGACCCGTGTGTACGTGTGTATGCCCACGTGTGGGTGCACGCGGGTGTGGGTGCTCGTGTGTGCCTGCGCACGTGTGTGCACCCGCGCGTGTATCCGTGTGTGAGCATGTATATGTGCATGTGTGGGTGCGCCCGTGTGTGCACGCGTGTACGTATGTGTCGTGTGTGCGCGTGCATGTTCATGTCTGCACACTCGGGGGCTGTGTGTGTGTGTGTGTGAGTGCGCGCGCACGCATGTCTGTGTGTGTGGCCGGGGAGGAGGATGTCAAGGGTAGCAGGCCAGACTTTTTTTAAAATAAAATAAGAAAAATAAAAGCCCAGCCGTCCAGGGCGTCTTCGGCCGGCCCCTCCCTCCCGCCCCACCTCCGGCTCCCGGGCCGCGGCTCCGGCGCCGCGTTTTCTCGGCCGCCACGCGCCCGCGGGTTAAAGCTCCCCCGCCAGGAGTAAACAGCGCCCCAGCGGGCAGCCGGCAGCCCCGCCCCTCGGCCCGTTTCCTGCGCCAGCCCTGACAACAGGCCCCGCCCTTCGCGACAGGCCCCGCCCCGCGCAGGCCGTCTGGCCCCTCCCGCCGTCCGCCTACCAGAGACGAGGTCCCGGCCCGTGCCGAGTGCCCAGTCAGCCCCGAGCCTTCTCCCCCGGGACTCCGCGGCCCGAGCCCGCCCCAAAGGAGGGTGCGTGCCGCGCACGTGACTCGTGTTGTGGGCGGGGTCTGCGCCGTGGCGGCGGAGAAAAGGGGAGGGGGGAATGGGTGAGGAGGAGGAGGAGGTGGGACAGGAAAGGAGGGAAAGGGAGTGGGGGGGAAGTAGGAGAGCAGGAGGGGAGGGGAGTAGGGAGGAGGAGAGGGGAGAAGGAGGGAAGGAGGGAGGAGGAAGGAGGGAGGAAAAAGCAGGGGAAGGGGCGGGGCGGGAGCCGGGCCTGGCCTCCTCCGGCTCCCCGGAGGGTGTCTGGGGCCTCGCTCTGCCGCCCACGCTCCTCCTCGGGTCCCGCTAGGAACTGGTCCTGGCCTCCCCGCCCGGTGAGGGCCCCAATGGGCTCCCCGATGACTTTGCCGCGGCTGCTGCTTCTGCACGCACAGCCTTGGAGCGCTGCCTGGCTGCAGGGCTCCCACGTCTTCCCCAAGTCCCCGCTCAGCAGAGCCTCTTTATTAAGTTTCCTGCCTGTGTCCACAGAATCCGACATCTCAAGCCCCCTGATCCACAGGCTCCTGCTGCGCAAACACCCCGCCCTCCTGCCTGCTGCACACACAGGCCTGCATTGTAGGGCCTCCCACGCCTCCGTTCCCGGAACGGAGTTCACCTAGCCCTGTGCCTGCCCTGCTGTCTTCTCTAAAGTTGGGGAAACGTGAGGTTCAGAAAGCTGGAAGGATTTCAGTTGCACCATACATCGACCACACAACAGTCCCACTCCTGGGTATTACCCAAGAGAGGCTAAAACAGATGCCCACACGAAGACTTCTACATGAATCTCGATTCAGAACAGCCAACCAGATAATCATCACAATGGCCATGAACAGGACAGTGAGTAAACAAATTGCAATAACCCGTGCAATGGGACGCTACTCAATAAAAAGACACAAACTTCTGGTGCAGAACTACCTGAAAGGAACCTCAAAAGTGTTCGCTTTGGTCAACGCAGCACAGTGGCTCATGACTCTAATCCCAGCAGTTTGAGAGGCCAAGGTAGGAGATCACTTAAGGCCAGGAGTTCGAACCAGCCTGGGCAGTATAGTGAGACCCGCCCCCCGCCCTTTTCAGAAATAAAAAACTTAGCCAGGCAGGGTGGTGCAGGCCTGTCGTCCCAGCTGCTGGAGAGGCTGAGGTGGGAGGATCACTTGAGCACAGAAGTTCAAAGCTGCAGCGAGCCGTCATCTCGGCATTGCACTTCAACCTGGGTGACAGAGTGAGACCCTGTCTCTAAAATAAATTTAAAATAAAAAATACATAAAGTATTAGCTGTGTGGAAAAAGCCAGACATACTGTAATGATTCTGTTTCTGTGAAATTCCAGAAACCACAAAACTGTAATGGCAGTGAGCAAATCAGATGTTACCAGGGGACAGGATCAGAGGGAGGGGATTGACTAGAAAGGGGCAGGAGGAAGTTTGGGGGGATGATGGAACTGTTTTATACTCTGTTGTGGTGGTGGTCACAGGCTGTATACAGTTGTCAACATTCACTGAAATGTGCACCTAAAGTTGTTGTGTTTTATGTAAATTATTACTGAATAAAACTGTTATTTTAAGAAAGTAATGCAGAAGGGCCAGATGCAGTGGCTCACGCCTGTAATCCCAGCACTTTGGGAGGCAAAGGCGGGCGGATCACCTGAGGTTGGGAGTTTGAGACCAGCCTGACCAACATGGAGAAATCTTGTCTTCATTGAAAACACAAAATTAGCCGGGTGTGGTGGCACATGCCTGTAATTTCAGCTACTCAGGAGGCTGAGGGAGGAGAATCGCTTGAACCCAGAAGGCGGAGGTTCTGGTGAGGTGAGATTGTGCCACTGCACTGGGGGAGGGGAGGGGAGGGGAGGGGAGGGGAGGGGAGGGGAGGGGAGGGGAGGGGGGAGGGGGGAGGGGAGGGGAGGGGAGGGGAGGGGAGGGGAGGGGAGGGGAGGGGAGGGAGTTTTCTAAATCTGAACCAATAGTGGAACTCTGCGAAGGGCTCCTATCTACCCTGATCTTTTTCTGTAATTCAGGGGCAGATGGAGGTAGAAAGCAGGACTCAACTCCAGAGGTGGAGCATGGACACGGGACCAAAATGAGCACTAGCTAAAACAGGGACAGAGAGGAAGCAGCTTTCCCACCAGTGAGGTGGGAAAGACACGCCCACCAGGGCGCCCTGTCAGTGTATCGTTGCCATGGCAACACCCCAGCATGGCCACCCCTTTTCATGGCAATGACCCAGCGACCCAAAAGTTACCACCCTTCTCCTAGACATTTCTGCATAAACTAATCTATTACATGTAATCGAAAGTAGGTGTAAATCGGACTGAAGCCCAAGCTGCCCCTCTCAGCACGCTGCCTATGGGGTAGCCCAGCTCTGCAGGAGCATCCAGGGGCTGTCATGCTGCTGGAGTTGTAACACTGCCGCTTCACTAAAGCTGTTATCTTCTCCCCTAACATCAACTTACCCTTGAATTCTTTCCTGAGCAAAGCCAAGAACCCTCACAGGCTGAGCCCTTTTTTGGGGGTTCACCTGCCCTGCCTCAAGATGACTACCTGGAAACTAACAGACTCCAGCTACAGTTAACCGGTTAACACCTTCCAGATCTTCCTTCCTAGGAAAATACCCATTATCCTGTCTGTCTCAAGGTAGCTCCAGGAAATAGATCAGAGCTGGCAGAAAAGAAAGCTGGAGAACCTTCACTAAACCTTCACTGCAGGAGAGACAGTCATTTCCAGGAGGCACTGAGAGAGGGTGAGCCATGGAGCCAGACTGACTGGGTTCCACACCGGCTTCTCCACCTACTTGCTCTTCTCTGGTTCCACATCTGTCAACCTGGGATGGTGATAATAACTGTGGCCTAGAGACATTGGTTCAGATTGAATGAGCAAATGTAGGAAAAGTGCAGGCAGCGTTTGGCATCTAATAAAGCCATCAAAGCAATCACTCTGTGCTGTGTTTTTAGCGTTCCTCCCACTCTTCCTGATCCCACCCTCAGTGCAGCTTTAGGACCGACTTCAAGATTACCAGCAGAGTGAATGGAGGGTCAGAGGGCAAGGTAGCTCTGTAGACACAGGTGTGCATAATGGGGTGCTGGAATGGAAATTGGGGTTCAGAGAAGCAAGTGAGTCATGGGTCCAGGCAGTGGAGTGGGGAGACAACATAACTCCCAGATGCAATGTGAGACAGAGACTCTGCTGTCTCCTGGTCTCTGAGCTCCTGATCCACAAGTGAACGTGGCATCTAATCCTCCTTGCACTCTGTGTTTCCTGAGAGCAGACACCATGTTTTATTTATCTTCATTCATCCTGTAGCAGCTAGCTCAGGGCGGGGTGTAAGTGATCAACAAATCTTTGAATATTTGTTAAATAAGATTTGATTTTATTGATTTTTGAGATAGAGCTTTGCTCTGCCAACCAGGCTGGAGTGCAGTAGTGCAATCATAGCTCACTGCAGCCTCGACCTCCCAGACTCAAGCCATCCTCCTACCTCAGCCTCCTGAGTAGCTAGGACTACAGGCATGAGCCACTGTGTTCAGCTAATTTTAATTTTTTTCTGTAGACACCTGTCTACAAAAAGGGTCTCTCTGTGTTGCACAGGCTGAGATCTTATATGTATCACCACACTGAGCCCTGTGGAGAGGTTCCTAATCTTAAGGAATTTTAGAGTTCCCTTATCCAACTCTTTCACTTCAGAGTTAAAGGAATCAAGGAAAGATATTTGCCTGGGGTGATATGGCAAGCTAGAAACAGAGGCCAAGTCTCTACTCTGAGTTACAGTGCACCTGGAAGAAAAACCAAACTCCCTGAAACTTACAGAACTAGATAAGGCAGTGTGTGGTTAAGACTTGAATGCATGGTACACATGGCAGGTGTGGCTCGAGTTGAGAGGACAGGATTCCCCAGAGGCTGGGATTGGGCAGAAATTGCTCACTGCAAAAGAGGGCTTGAACTTACCCTCAAGGATGGGTAGCATTTGGGATTCAGGAAACAGAGAGAAATCCCAGGAGTGGAGGTAGCTTTCTGCTGAGGCCATAGTGAATGGGTAAGGGTCAGTGGAAAAGGAGGTTTGGACTGGACCACAGTAAGACAAGATGTTGGAGGATTAGGCTGAGGCCAGACTGTGGGAGATTTCAAATGCCAGGATAAGGAGTTTCTACCTTACAGGCAATGGCAACCCCTGTATATAAACACAGCTAGGCACCGAACTGAGACAACACACCAGGCAAAGGCCTGCCAACGTGGTGTGATTTGCATCTTTTGCAGACAGTTGCTTGCCATATATATGCATTTACTGAATTTACCCCCACACAAAGGAAACTCTACCAGCTAGCTCGTCTATATTTATTTTGCCTCCATATACACGATACTTGTGTGAGAGCAGAGGAAGGGAGGGGCGTTAACACAGTTGGTGTGTCTGCTATAGACCAGGCATTTTCACCTGACAATCTTGTGAGGAGTACGTGTTATTGCCTCAGTAACCCCCAGAGAGGGTCGGTAACTTTCCCAGTACACAGAGCTAGGAAGTGGTGGAGCCAGAATTCGAACTCAGCTTTGATGCCAAAGCCCTCTCCTCAAAACCTCCCCGTGAGAAGATAGAGGAATTGGTTTCTCATTGCCAAGTGCCTTGAAGTCAGACCAAGCTGGGCTTGAATTTCCATTTCCACTACTTCCTAGCTGGTGGCAGAGGCTCGTGACTCTAATGGACCTTAAGCTTCAGGGTCCCCTTGCTTTGTACAGACCCCTTGCAAGCCTGCTGCCCAATTCTCAAATCCCTGATTTTGCATTATCGTCCTGAACAAGGGCTCCAGCAACTGGGTGAGCCTCAGGCCTCATGAAACATGAATCTGCTGCAGGTAGATGACCTCTAGCAAGTTACTTCGAGTTTCTGTATCGGGATGAAATCACCCTGGACTCTGGTCTACCAGCTGAACACGCAGCTGACACAAAGTACTAGAGATGCTGCAGTGCCTTGAACCTGATCTCCCCCAGCCTTACCGCAAAGGCAGAAGTTCACAGAGCCCCTAGGGGAAAAGAAATACCTAATGGATTATTAAGTACTTCGTTCTGAACAGCTTAGTAAGTATTAATGTCTTAACAATTTAGTAATTATCTGCAAAAATAATACATAGAAATCGAAAGAAATTGATTATTTTATTTTATTTTTGAGATGGAATTTCACTCTTTTTGCCCAGGCTGGAGTGCAATGGCGCAATCTTGGCTCACTGCAACCTCTGCCTCCCGGGTTCAAGTGATTCTCCTTCAGTCTCCCGAATAGCTGGGATTACAGGCATGCGCCACCGCGCCTGGCTAATTTTGTATTTTTAGTACAGACAGGGTTTTACCATGTTGGCCAGGCTGGTCTCGAACTCCTGACCTCAGGTGATCCGCCTGCCTCGGCCTCCCAAAGTGCTAGGATTACAGGCATGAGCCACTGCGCCCGGCCTTTATTTTATTCTTAAATGACTGCAATTACTTTCTAACAGGATGAATGCACCTGTTGAGCACTGCACAGTTTCCAAAACCTCAGAATCAGATGCACACAATAACCCTCATTTCCTATTTCCCGCCCGTTTTCCTATGCTGTGCTTGCTTTTTAACACGGTGTCTGGCAAAACGCAATTCCGTCAAGATACGATGCCCCCGAAAGGAATGTAATGCAATGTAATGTTGAACCTGTGCATTTCCTTCGCCTAATGGTTCGTGCAGTGGACATTTAAAATATCCTGACAAGGCCAGGCGAGGTAGTTCCCACCTGTAATCCCAGCACTTTGGGAGGCCAAGGTGGGCGGATCACTTGAGGCCAGGAGTTCAAGGCCAACCTGGCCAACATGGTGAAACCCCATCTCTACTAAAAATACAGTGTGGCATGGTGGTGCGCTCCTGCAGTCCCAGCTACTTGGGGAGGCTGAAGCAAAAGAATTGCTTGAACTCAGGAGGTTGCAGTGAGCCGAGATCACACCGCTGAACGCCAGCATGGGCAACAGAGTAAGACTGTGTCTCAAAAAAATAAAAATAAAATAAAAAATAAGGCCAGGTGCAGTGGCTCATGCCTGTAATCCTAGCACTTTGGAAAGCCAAGGTGGGCGGATCCCCTGAGGTCAGGAGTTTGAAACCAGCCTGGCCAACAGGGCAAAATCCCATCTCTACTAAAAATACAAAAAATTAGCTGGATGTGGTGGTGCATGCCTGAAATCCCAGCTACTTTGGAGGCTGAGGCAGGAGAATCGCTGGAACCCAAGAGGCAGAGGTTGCAGTGAGCCAAGATCATGCTACTGCATTCCAGCCTGGGCAACAAAGCAAGACTCTCTCTTAAAAAAAAAAAAAGAAAAGAAAAAAAACCTTGATGTGCCCCTGTGAATTTGTGGCAGCACCTTAGGGCACCTGTACACACAATTTGGGATACGTGGACTTAAGGAAACTGTTGAGGCTATTTCAGGAAGCAACCCAAAGGCAGCATGGTTCTTTCCAGTAGAATGGAAGTGGGGGAACCACCTGTTAGTACCCTTGTTCACAGTTGGCCACCCTGTCATTGTTCCATGGTCCACAGGAAATCTTCCTGAAGTCTCTTCCTAGTACCTCCTTCCACCCTGGGTTATGGCTATTTACATAACATTAAAAAGCAGAGAATAATGGCTGGTTGTTAGGCAGCCTGGGCTCCAGTCCCAGATCTGCCACTTGGGAGGGATAACACCTTGGTCATAACCTCCTCTTCTTAAGAGTCTCTTCCAGCTTTAAAGATCTATGAATCTATGCGTCTTCCCTCAAGCTGTCTCCTAAGGGGCCGAAATTTTGCACTTAATTGTACTTAGCCTCATCAGAGTAGGAGGGAAAGAAGGAATGTTTCTTCCGTTGTGCACGTTCTGCGTGCTAGAAAGCGGGGGACTTGAAATCAAACAGGAATCAATTTCACATCAGGTAAATTTCTGAAAAGAGAGAAGGAAGAACAAGAACACAAAGCTCTCTACAAGGCATCCTTGGGTATGGGGTACTGGAAATGTTTCTTGATCTGAATGCAAATAACTGGGTGTCTTCAGTTTGAGAAAATCTGTCAAACTGTACATTGTGATTTGTGCATCTCTCTATGTGTATATTCTACTTTATTTGAAGGGCAGGAAAGCAAATTGCTAAATTGAAACAATATAGAAATTACATAAAAATACAACACAAACAATACTCTTTTCTTTAAAAACTTCATGATGAGGGCCAGGCACAGTGGCTCATGCCTGTGATCCCAGAACATTGGGAGGCGAAAGCAGGCAGATCACGCAGTCAGGAGATCGAGACCATCCTGGCTAACATGGTGAAACCTCATCTCTACTAAAAATACAAAAGATTAGCCAGGCATGGTGGCACACACCTGTAGTCCCAGCTACTCAGGAGGCTGAGGCAGAAGACTTGCTTGAACCCAGGAGGCGGAGGTTGCAGTGAGCCAAGATCGTACCACTGAATTCCAGCCTGCGTGACAGAGGGAGACTCCATCCCAAAAAAAAAAAAAAAAAAAAAAAAAAAATTGATGATGAATTGTAAAGGTGTAAATATGCTATCTGCTTGTGGTAATTTTTAAAAGAAATTTTAAATCATTGAAAAACACAATAGGCCAGACATGGAGACCAGCCTGGGCAACATGTCAAAACCTTGTCTTTACAAAAAGTACAAAAATTAGCCAGGCCTGATGGCACACACCTGTAGTCCCAGCTGCCGGGGAGGATCACCTGAGCCCAGGAGGTCGAGGCTGCAATGAGCCATGATCATGCCACTGCACTCCAGCCTGGGTGACAGAATGAGACCCTGTCTCAAAAAAAAAAAAAAAAAAAAAAAAAACACACACACACAATAAAACAAGGCTTTTGCCAGCTTAGTATGGCAGGTTTGAGACTTAGACCAGCAAAGGGAGGCTTATACCCTCTGTGTGGTAGAGTCTGGCTTCCTCAAAGGCCGCCTCCATCTCTGTCACACTACACAGGGTCAGATGTTCAGCCTATGCAAATCCATAAGGACAGTTTATCAGGCCAGGCACAGTGGCTCATGCCTGTAATCCCAATGCTTTGGGAAGCTGAGACAGGAGGATGGCTTGAGTCCTGGAGTTTGAGAACAGCCTGGGCCACACAGTGAGACCCCATCTCTATCAAACAATTTTTTTTAATTAACTGGGTGTGGTGGTGCCTGTGGTCCCAGCTACTTGGGAGGCTGAGGCTGGAGGATCTCTTGGGCCCAGGAGGTCAAGGTTGGAGTGAGCTGTGATTGCACCATTGTATTCCAACCTGAGTCACAGAGCAAGACCCTGTCTCAAAACAAAACAAAATAAAACAAAAATGACAGTTTGGGGAGTTAATATAGGACAAAGTTTGCAGAGTTCATATAGGCAAAACCCACATTGCTCAAGAACTCAGGATTGGCAAAGCAACCATTCTGAGGAGCCAAGAGGCAGAAGCCTGGGCTTGGTCTGCAGGCGCTGGTATGTTATCTGCTCCAATCAGCGACAGGCGCTGGCTCTGAACCCAGAACCAAAGAAACAGCCAGTGACCAGAGGCTGCTTGTTCTGCAAGAAAGAGCACTGCCTTAGCCCTGGTGACATGACTAGCAGAGTGACCAGAGCAAATCCGC